TTTTTTCACCAAGCATAGGTTATGAATTTGGATCTTCTGCCAACAAAACATGTTCCAACCTAATGTTTTCAATCGGTCGTTAACCCGACTGGTCGAACCATCACTTGGCCAGGATTTTGGGTTTGGTTCATTCAAGACCCATCAGACAGTCAAAACCATTGATTTAGTCAAGAACCGTTTGACCCGGTGACTAAGTCGCGGGTTGCACACTAAATACATGCAAACTTTCGGAGTTCATGACTTTGCACTCCGATGTTTAATTGGGGTGATTTTTTTATTTTGGGTAACTTTTCGAAATCAATGCGACGTAGGCACCTTGCCCCACTATTTACACGAAAAAAAAAAACCCTTTTTGGCCTCAAATTACAAATTTTAATATTTTTAGAAAAAAAACTAAAAATTGAATTAAAAAACATATATTAAATATAAAATAATACATATAACATATTTATACATTATTGATTGCTAAAATATATATTTATACACATATATATACATATATACACTGACGTGGCACGGTCTGAATGTTCGACCAAATGGGTGACCCACAACCCAGAGGAAAAATGGTTCGACCTCCAAGTCGGTTTTTAAAACATTGTTCCAACCTTCTACCAACATCATCTCACGCTACACATCTTAACTTGAGACTAGGACCCACCATGTATGAGATGTGCGGTGTGAGATGATGTCGATAGAGGGTTGAAACGTGTTTTGTTGGCAGGGGATCCGGTCTTATAGCTTGTAGGTTGTCCATGTAGAGCCAAAAGTTGTTGAGTTCCAACCCTCAGAAATGGAAATCAAATGTTGGTTGAGGTGGGTTTTAACAGAATTGGTATTGGTGCCCCACATCACATCCCAACTGTGCATTGGGAATGTCTCCCAATAACAATTACAGGAGATGTTCCTAATGCATGTTGAAATGTGCATGTGGGGCGCTTGCGAAGCGCAGATGTGAATTCATTTTAACATCCACCTTGAAAATGAAAAAGTATTTACTACAACAGTAGGAGTGAAATAAAGCTTGAGAGAAGTATCCATGTGAGTGTATGCAAAAGTAAGGTTGTATTTGGGGCTTATAATGGTTTTGGCTACAGATTATAATGCTTTCAAAATTTAAGGCTGCATTTGTAAGCGGTGTAAAACACCATTGGTGACGTTTCACACCAAATCGTTTGAAAATGTGAACCATTGAGCATAAAAAAGCGTGCTTATTGACGTAGTATTACATTGATTTTATCGATGTAGTTTTTACATCGATAATCGATGTAAAACCTCATCATAAGTGATGTTTTATATTGATTTACAACGTAAAACTTCACTCCATCCAAATGCCAACAAGTCTGAACCGAAGTGGAGTTTTACATTGATCTTGATTTACACTCCAAACAAACACTGACAAAATTAAACATGTGGTGAGGTTTTACACTTCTTCCAAATGCAACCTAACTCATTTTAGATTTTTAGTATAATAGATTTTCCCAAAGACAACTCCGCCATTGTAAGGTTATTGTTTTATGTTGCTAGTCTCAAGCCCGAATAGGGGAGGGTGTTTGATTGACAGTCACACACTAAAACTTTTGCATATCTCTCATAAACATGGATCCTGATGATGAGATTTTCTCAAAGTTCAAAACATATGTTGGCTCAAATTTTGTTTTCCACAATCGGAAACTTGAAACCAAAAGTTTATCAAACACTAACAATGGAGTCATGTAGCTACATAATCTAAAGTTGTCAATGGGTTGGGTTTGGATTGGGATAGATCCAAAACTAATTATTAATCGGGACAAAATCATAGATCTAGAGCTATCCTGATTAACAATCAGCTGGTTCAACCTGATAAACCTAATTATACCAACAACTATAATTATTTATATAAATAATATCTTAAAAACTAATTTTAATAATATACCTTAATAAAAATGATAGTAAAATAATGAACTATTTATACATTAATAAATCAAGTGTTTTTAAATAAAACTATCTTATATATATTATCTGTAAATTTATGATTTTAGACATAAAATATGATAAAATTATAAAGAAAACTAAGAAACCTTTATATATTATTAAGAAAATAATCAATTCAGATCTGAATTGGTTTAAGTTTAAAACAAGCAACAACTAGAATCAACTCAATTATTAATCAGAACAAAATCATAAAAATCAATATAGTCAGTTCGGTTGATCAGATAGAACCGACCCATTAACAACCTTAACCAAATTACACATGAGAGCTTTCAAATAAATAGTATATACAAATGCGTGTTTCTTTTTTTTCCAGTTTTCATTATTATAAGGATAGGCAACATATTTTGTGCCTTTATAATTACCACTCCAAATAACATTTGTTCCCTTTTTCACAGGATTTAAATGGTTGGGCTAGATGGTTTATTTTAAAATAAAGGAAATATTATCCGAGTTTGCAGGTAGAGGTCCTTGGCCTCTATAGGTAGGGATGGATGGTCATAACAAACCAAAAAATCAAACCAAATTAAGGAAACCCAACAAAAAAATTCAATTAACCGAAATGATCAAGTGATTAACTAATTAATTAATTCAATTTTGGTTCGGAACATTACAAAAGCTAAAGGACCAATTCGATTTGAAATATATGCCCACCATGAGCACCTCTATCTCCATGAGTCATGTAAGCTTTGAAATATTTTGATTTGCCATGGTTTGGAATTAGCCATGGCAATTTAAATTCTTTATACCCAAGTCTTACAATTAAAAGAGTGCACCCTCTTCGTCATCATTTATTATCCCAACTATATGGGGTTGGTATATGGGTTTGGAATTAGGACATGCCTCCCTCCCTTGGGATATGTGTGGGGGGGGGGGGGGGTGTCAGTCTGGCAAGGCCCATGGCTCGAGCCCGCGTGGGCCTATGTTGGGCGGGGCTGGTCCGTGGGCCGAGCCTTGGGCTAGGTCGGGTCGTAGACTGGGCCAAAGTTATTTATTTAAAAAATTGAAAAAAAACTTAAAATTTTAATTTTATATGAATTTTGATGTATACAATTGCTTATATATAATAATATGGGTCGTGTCGGGCCGTGCCCGACCGCAGACCACGGGCGGCATGGCACGATAGTGTGGGCCATGCCAGCCTAGCCCGTTGACCTGAAACCCCAAGCCCAACACGCCCCATTGGCCCATACAAATCGTGTAGGGCTGCGACATGACTCGTGAACCATCAGTTCTGACCCGCTCAAAATCGTGCTGAATCACGAGCAACACAACCCAATTTACACCTCTACAAATCCATTTTATTTAAAACCATATCTACCATTAATGCTTAAAAGAATTGCATTTACTTAAATGATTTCTATTAGTTGGGGTCGATGCTTCATTTTTGTCATTTCATAGGCTTTTTCGACATTTGAAGAGGTTTCTCAAACTCTTTTCTCCCTCGGCCCATTGCTCATGGTTACCTTCTTTTTTTTGACAAAATATAGATAGCATAAATTTGCAATGCTCCTACGACCTGCGCCCCCATCCAAGCTCAAATTTAATGTTTCCTCATTGTAAATTTGAGATTTTGTCAAAATTTGAACATGATGTATATTTTAAAATTTTTAAAATTTATTAATTAATATTTTAATTTGCATTAAATAGCAACATATTTATTATTTATAAAATAAAAATATCATTTACAAAAAAAAAAATGTTATATACAAAAATTTGAGAATATAATATAAATTGAATTTGTCAAATCTGCAAATTTACCTTCATATAAAAACTGATTATTTTATTTCATAAAAATTATATAAATAAAAATATTATTAATGGAATAATTATTTTAGTAATTAAAAATTATCAATTTGCATATGACATGTATCTTAGAAATTATACTATATTTTACATATTTTAAGTTAAAATTATAAAAAATATTGTTTACCAGAATTAATTTTAATTGAATTTTTTGTTAATGTTAAAAAATAGAAATAGTAAATAGGAAATAATTGATAATAATTAGATATAATAGTTATATATGTTTTGTGAGTTGAACTTCAATAGAAAATAATATAATAGTAACAACTTTGTGCATGTATTAATTTGTAAAAAGGAATATAATACATTCCAGCACTCTTGATTGATACATTATCAATATAATTGTATGGTTTCTATGTATCCCACTATATTAATTATAATATACAATTGACATGTATTTATATATTAATTATGGTTATTTTGACTTTAAATATAAGGGAAAATTCCTGATTAATACCTTGTACTTTGGGCCTAGTGCCACTTTGGTCCCCGAACTTTAAAATGTGACAATTCATTACCCCGAACTTTCAAAATGTGCAAATCTAGTACTTACCATTAACCAGTCATTAAGTGGCATTTGAAAAGACACAAATGCCTTTCGAGTGTTATTTAATTTTCTTTATCAACCATCTAAACGTTGATAAAAAAATGAACAATCCTAAATCCTTGCCTTTTCTATTCAAGAAAGTTGGGGCCACAAAAATACTCGTTGAGACAACCCCAACTTTCTTGAATAAAAAAAGCAATAATTTGAAAAATGTTCATTTTTTATCGGTATTTGAATAATTAATAAAAAATTCAAATGCCACTTAATGATTAATTAACAGAAGGTACCGGATTGACATGTTTTGAAAGTTAAGTTACTGAATTATCATATTTTAAATTTCGAATAACAAGACATTAGACACAAAGTACAAAGTATTAATATATTTATATACATTTTTTGTTCGTATCTAAGATTTTCAAAGCATATTATTGATATCTCCTAGTCTGAATATAAGAATCATTGGCTGTAATATACATCCCACGATGTAAATCACTGCCATCTTCGTCGTCTTCAACTGATTTCAAATCAACTTATGAAATATATCTAGCGACACGCGTCCAGATATCATATCACCAACTTGTGGGTCCTGATCTTCGTAGCATGCCACGCGTCTAGATCTGATCCATCTATACACGATTATCTGAATTGACAATGTGTTATACCGAAAACAAGAATGACATTGTAATGTATACGCGTCCGGATCTCGTTGTGATAGTCTCTCGCTGTTCTCGTACATATATCCGTTGAGTTTGCCGGTACCGTCAGATTTGGGTCAGATTTCCGAGAAGATGCGCCGGAAATGTGGAAGGAGTTTTGGGATAGACAATCGGGTAAACTCCGTCCTTGTTCATTTGCCAATCGCGTTAGGTCAGATCGCATCGCCTCTCTTGAGCTCTCCAATCACAAGGAGATCATCTCCCCCCATAGAGGCGCCATTAATACTCTCGAGGTTCCTCCTCTCCCCGCTGTTCGATTCTCTCTCTCCATCATTATTCCCTTGGTTCCTGTGGGCTGTAGCAACAAGAAAAATAATCCTTACTTTCGATGCCTTTCTCTTTGGTGACCTACGTATTTTTTAAAACTGTTTCTGCGTTGGCGTAGTTATTCTAGTTTTGGTGATTCCAATTTGTTAGTTCGAAATTAATTATGTTTTGCTTACTGTCTTTTGCTCCAGCAGCTCGTTTCTTTCTTTTCTTTTCTATTCTTAGTCTTCTTTCTCTATTTTTTTTTTCATTGTGATGTTTTCGTTGTGTATGAGGGAGACATAACAAAATGATGTGTAGTCCTTCCTGTCTCTGGCTGAACTGATAGTTTCTTTCTGTGGGAGTTAAAAAGCAGGAAGAAATTAGGTGAGTAAAATAGACTGAAAAATACAATGGTGCACATTTTAAAGTACGAAATTGGACATCACCTACCCAGTTACAGAATGGTGGATTTTTTATCTACCATGGAAAGAACATCTTAACTATTTATGGTATCTAGAATCCTTTGGAAATTAAGGCAAGTCGTCAGAATTGAGCTTTGTAGAAGAGGTAATAAGCCAAGTTTAGTGGATATCATTTACCTGTATGTCATGTGGTAGGCTGGTTGCATGTTTACTTCCTACTTCACCTGAAGAAATCCCATTTGTGCAACGAGCGTGGTGCGTCTTTTCTTCTATTCTGTTATGTGTTTGATTGATTGCTTCCCTGAATTTTTTGTTCACGGCTGAAGTGGCAGAGTTTGTCATCATATTGAATCATCATACAAAAGAATTGCAATTATTGAGATTGAGTATTATGAAAATGTAACTGAAAGGAAAAATAAAATAAAAAATAAAAAAGATCATGTGAGACTATTCTTTCAGCTTGGACCTTTTCTTCCCTTTCACTTTTGTTTTTCGTTTATCTGACCAGGGGATTTACTCATTAGCTACACAATATCTTTGACTTTATTGATCAGTTACGCAATATCTTTAGCTCTGAAAATGTTTAATAATGCAACAAAAAAATTGGCAGTTGAAGGACTTATTAACCATAGTGCAAAAATGCCAGAGGTTAGGTTCATATCCAGCCCATCACTCCCAAGACCCCAGATAACCAGTACCAATGTTCGGTGGGCAATGACCTTTCGAGCAGAGAACAAAGAGTGTTGCATTCCCAGTAGGGCATAACAGCAGTTCGTCTGCTTCAAGGGAGACGAGAGACCTCTGATTGCAAAATTGCAATGAAAATTATATTCTTCAATGGATAATTTTTGAAAATGAACTTACAAGATAATATAATAAAGGCACCTACACATGTGCTCCACTACCACTCTGCTAACCCATAACACAATAACTGATTCAACAAACTACTAGCTACATGCCTAAGAACATGCCAAAGACCCATTCCACCCTGACTACTTATTTACAACTATCAACTCAACTGACCCCTGACTTTCCTTTCTAGTTGTGAAATCCGCATTCATAACCAGGATTCATTGCTGGCTCTGATACCAGTTATTACGTTCCCAGCAGGACATAACAGCAGTTTTGTCTATTTCAAGGGAAACGAGAGACCTCCAAATAAAAATCCCAATGGATAAGGGAAATAATCTTCAATAATAGTTTTCAAAGTAACTTAAACAGGATTGTATCAAGACTCAAGACTTCTACTGATCTTCTACTTCTCATGACCCACTACTCACACACACATCACACTACTTCACCTACGTGGCACACCATAACTCTATGGACTCTATAACTGACACGGTCACTCAAACCCATAACGATGAGCCAAAGATCCCTTCTCACTAACTTCACTTGTTTGTTTACAACAACTGACCCCCTATTACTATTGATGGGATTTATAGCAACCAACCCAACTGACCCCCAACCTGTGGGCCCACTAATGGGCACATAACAGAGACAGGGGATTATTCTGCTATTTTACTGTTTCCTGTCTTGTATGATTTATGTTATTGTTAGCTGAGGCTAACAGTCCCAATGAGTGTAGCTTTTCTCATGTGTCAGTTATTCATCATTATGAGAGAGGGGGGGACAACCCTGGTTCATCCCATTCCAGACTTTCCTTGACAGCACCAGATTTGGCTAAGGCATCAGCCAAGCTGTTGGCACATCTAGGACCCATTTGAATGCAACAATTGAGAGAACCATGTGATACTCGAAGATCCTGAAGCAGAAGGACTTCACATCTTTAAAGTGAACTGTACATCTAGAAGGCATGATTTGAATTTCAAGGCCATGAATGAATCTCACAGTATTATCCAGCCCTAGAAGGGATCCTTTCTTATTAGTGTTGTGGCAACTCTAGAAGGGCTTTTCTAGGTGTGAGCTATCACCTGTGTATTATACAATCTCTGCATCATGTCCAGCAATGGTTCCACCTCCCAATCATTTAAATTTCTCTGGAATTGCAGGTTGCATTCAATGTTTCCATCTTGCTCTTGCATATACTCTGCCATCCTTCTTCTTTATCTGTTGCTAATTCAAATAGGGAGGGTAGGCCTCCATTAGGGGGCTGTTTCCACACCGGCAGTCACTCCAAAATGTCATTTTTTGGCCATTTCCCACCATCTTACTCCTTTCATAAAATGGCTTTATGCCTTTTCTATTCCTTTCCAAACTGAGCATCCTTATGATTGGCTTGAGTCTCCTGGATCCCATCCCCAATTTCTTGATCTGTATTTATCTTGAATTCCCCTTATTATCCAAGTAAATACATTGAGAGCAAATACATGGGTAGAGAAGAAAGTTTGCTTTTCAGCAGAATCAACTTGCCACCCTTGGATAAGTATTTAGCTTAATATGCGGCTAGTCTCTTAACCATCCTGTCCACAATTGGTTTTCAAATTGTTTTCCAGTTGTCTGGCTCCCAACATAATTCCTAGGTATTTTAAGGCAATTTTCCCATTTTATATTCCCACTCTTCTGCCTACTGCTCCAAATTTTACATCTCTCCACAGCTATCAATCCACTTTTATGTGTGTTTACATGTAAGCCTTAGACCACTTCAAACCACAGTAGTATTGCCATTAGGTTTTTGAGCTGCTCATATGATGCTTTGCAGAATAATAAAGTGTCATCGACGTATTATAATAAAGGAACTTCCACCCTCTCTTCTCCTACTACAAAACCTTCTAAGAGACCTCCCAACACATCCCTTTTCACCAACTTATTTAGAGCTTCCATGACACAAATGAATAGAAAAGGAAACAAGGGATCACCTTGTCTTATTCCTCTCAAACTTTTAAAGCTCCCACATGCTACTCCATTCATCAACATCAAGAATAGACAATCCATTCAGCCATTCCCTTTTATTCCCATTATTTGCATTAGAATTCACTAATTTCTGCCAAAATTACTTTAGCTGGTTGCTGGAAGAAATCCTAGAACCAAGTTGGCAATTACCTTTCTATCCTGCATCATAATCCATAACCTTAGAAGTAAGAAATTATTGCAGGTCTTATGTCTTTTTGGTGTTCTAGAAAGTCAATAGAGGTGATTTGAAATCTTGTTAGAAAACCCTTGGGACAAAAATAAGTCAATAGGGCTAATGCTTTGGCTGATTCATTAGCTAAGCAAGGGGCGATTAGGGATCAGTTGTATTGGGCGCAATTGTAATTCTGTACTAGCTCTGTTCTAATAGTGAGGCTGCATCTCACGCCTCCCTGTGGGATGCTTGTAACGATGCATATCTTTATGATTTTTAATAAATTTTAATGATCTGTTATTTGTCAAAAAAAAGTGCATGATTAGTCAATTCCTCTGGTGTTGATCATCCATATAGATGCAACTTTTTTTTTTCTTTTTGAAATCCTTAGATCTTCCTATAGTATTCATATTAGCATGTGAAAGCCCAAAATAATAGACATTTTTTGGTTAAACAAAACAACATAATTGAAGATTGAGTTTATCAATCTAGGACCCTAGTATTTGCAAACAAATACCACTAGACTTTCAGACTGTAAGTTATGTTTTCTGTAAATTCACATATCCAGGTGTCGTGCTTGGCTACTTGAATACATGCTTTGATCTGCACATGTATTGAGCACTCCTTTTGATATAGACTTTTTCATTTCTTATGTTATTTGTCTGATCACCTATCTATACCATGAGGTTAGGTTGATTTGACAGAGGGAAGGTATCTATTATCCGGTGCAGCTGATGGTTCAGCTGCTGTTTATGATGTCCAACATGCCACAGATTATGAAGGAGGTGGCCTTGTTGCAAAGCACCGGTGCTTATTTTTTGTTGACAAACAACATGAGCATGGCCACAAATATGCTGTATCCTCAGCCATTTGGTATCCTGTTGACACAGGACTATTCATCACAGGTTCATTTGATCATTACATCAATGTTTGGGATACAAATACTCTACGGGTATGCATTTTCCATAGTTCTCTTTCCTCGAGCTTGGGTCTTGATTTATGATTTTTATTGGATACTTTGCATTATGTCATTAGGTGGTCATGGATTTTAAAATGCCTGGAAAGGTGTACAGGACAGCTATGTCTTCAGTAGCCACATCTCACATGCTAATTGCTGCTGGAACTGAAGATGTTCAAGTTCGCCTATGTGACATTTCTTCAGGGGCATTTACTCACACATTATCAGGACACCGTGGTAAATAATAAATTGTTGCGGGCCTTAATTCCTTTTTCTGTTTCTACCAAAACATTCCTTTTTCTGTTCATATTTCTATCAGCATTGATATTTTTTCCCTTAAAGATGTGCTTAAAAATTTTAATATTCTCAAGCCTAGATGAGGCCTAAATTTTCATGCCTGACAGTCTTATTAATCTTCCTACTAATCTTACATTTTTTTTTTTTTGAAAAGATGTATCTCAATATCCTTCACACTCATTTTTTTTCAGAAATTGAATGACCACAAGAATCACCTTCATTATTCACATGTCTTGAATCAGTTGTTTCATTATTCTAATTTGTTCAGAACTTGCTTAATGTAAGAATGAAGAAAGGTCCTTGTAGTCATACTTTTAGGATTGGCATAAATTTTTGCTTCTATATTCTATCATGCCTGCAATTGCAGATGGTGTAATGACAGTGGAATGGTCTACTTCTAATGAGTGGGTTTTGATAACTGGGGGATGTGATGGGGCAATACGTTTCTGGGACATCAGACGTGCAGGGTGTTTTCTTGTCTTAGATCAGTCCCACTCTCAGCTAGGAAGACGGCCACAACTCCTTGATCACTCATCTACAAGAGTAAGCTCTCTCTCTCTCTCTCTCTATATATATATATATCTATTATCTATCYATCTATCTATCTATCTATCTATCTATCTATCTATCTATCTATCTATCTATCTATCTATCTATCTATCTCTTCAGCGTACACAACATAAAAAAAATGAAGGGAAAAATATATTTTTAGTAGTCTTTCTTTTGGATGTAACTCTATGGGTTTTGTAGCCAACCCATGCACAGTACCAAGAATTGGATGGCCAGCTTATAACCTGAGCCTAATTCAACTCTAGTTTACTTGAGTACAACTCATCTGTTGCTTCAATAGGGCTATGCTGTATTATGCTTGGTTTAAGTTATTGGACAAGATAAAAAATAAATAAATAAATTGAATGTGTATGAGCATTGTTAGATTCAAAATCAAGTAGTCATTTCACGTACAGTGCAAGATGGTAGATCAAACTTTAATTGTTTGCATTATTCCCAGAAACACACATTATATAATATCTGTTGTCATTCTCTGGTTACCTAGTTCTTTTAAATGGCTCCACCCCTTGCAGTGAACTTTCCTGTCCAAGCATAACCCAAGGTCGCAACTAAAACTTGTAAGTTAAGCTGGTTTGTTGAGTTAGGTTTGAGTCAGGTCAGATGTGCATTTTGAGATGTTCTGTATTTGAAAAATTGCTACAACTGGTACAAAATTATGTCATTGTTCATTTTTTTATGGGTAAGGAGAAAAAATTTTATTAAGAGGGAGAGATTAAGGATGTACCATCTTTATGTTTCCAAACAGACCAGCACTAAAAGAACTACAAGGATGATTAAGCAAGAAAGCTGATCCCCCACCCCACCAGGAAATTTCTCTGAAGGGATTCCAATTTCTTTGCCACCTCGGAAGGGATGGGAAAGAGAGAAAGAAAGTAAGTAGGGTGGTTTGAGAGGGTGCTCTTTACAAGTGTCATTCTGCCTTCCGAGGAGAGGTACTTTGCCTTCCAAGAAGCTAACTTCTTTTCGATCCACTCAATTACAGGATCCCAAACAGGAGTAGAGTTGCATTTTTCTCCAAGAGGGAGCTCCAAATATTTTCTAGGAAGGTGATTCACTTCACAAGCCAGCACCTCAGCCAAAACCTCCACATTGTCAACATGACCCACAGGAAAGACTACACTCTTCCCTAGATTCACCTTGAGACCTGATACAACTCCAAACCAGCAAAGGATATACCAAGCATCACTTCCAATTGATTAGGGGCAGCATCAATAAAACACAACACAAGGTATTATCAGCAAATTGGAGAAGGTGCACTTTTTCCCCCAGTCGGGATTTCCTACCCACTCTACCCGCCGTGAATTGGAGCCACACATCTCTATTATGAATTGAGAGATGTGTGGCTGCAATTCATGGAGGGTAGAGAGTGGGTAGGAAAAGTGAGTAGGAAATCTGGGCTCTTTTTCCCCACCTGGAGAGATTTCAAAACCATCCCATAAACCTCCAGAGACAGCCAACTTATTGAATTGAAAGAGCACTTCCATGAAACAAATGAATAACAAAGGGGAGAGAGGGTTCCCTTGTCTAGTACCTATAGCGCTCTCAAAGAATCCTGCCACTTGCCCATTAATTAGAACAGAATTGGAGACATGACACAGGCTTTAATCCAGTTCCTCCATTTTTGTCCAAATTTTTACTTTTTGATAAGTGAAGTTAGATTTCATTAATTTTGAAAAATATAATCATTACAAGCATCCCTTAGAGAGGCACAAGATGCTACCTCTCTATAAACAAAACAGAGAAATTACAAGTGAGCCCAAAACAAAGATTGTGTATTCACCCCTTGCTTGGCTAGAGTATCAACTAATCCGTTTGCCGATCTCCTCACCCATTGAATCATCAGATTCATATTCTTGGTGATCCATAAAATCCTTTTTAATTCATCCCTGTAGCATATATCACAGATTCTGGATCCTTTAACTAACCCACCGCCAATTTTGAGTCCCCTTCAATCACCAAATTGGTTATGTTCAGATCATTTGCAAGTTGTGTAAGGCTGCAAAAAATTCTAACTTGAGAGAATCCCCATGCCCCAGTGGACCAGAAAACAAGGCTATTAATTTGCCTTCCATGTTTCTCACAACTCCCCCTATATTAGCAGGTCCTGGATTCCCCCTGCTACTCCCATCAAAGTTCAGTTTTACATAGTCCTGAGGTGAGGGAAGCCATGCAACATTTATTCTTTCCTTTCTAAAAGAGCTTCTTGCAACACCTTCCCAGTTCCTCCTTAAGTCATGAGAAATTTGAGAAAATTGGTCCAAATATTTGATCCAATGGATCACTCTAACCATCACACAATCCGTTATTTCTTCCTTGCTTCTTTCCTTATCAAAGAAGACTCTTGCATTCCTCTCTTCCCAAATGGTCCAAACCAAGGCTGCTCTAACACACCACATTATTCTTCCCCTCTTTTTTGGCCATGTAAACATATAAGGATCAAACAACAAATTAACCTCCGCTGGTAAGGACCATCTGCACCCAAACAAAGAAAAAAAAACAACTCCCTATATCTACAGAAAAAGAGCAAGAAATCAGTCAATGATAGCAACTTGTTATCAGATCTGCACAAAACACACCAGTTTGGAGAGAGACATAAATTGGGTCTCCTCTTCTGTAGCATTTCTAAAGTATTAATTTTCCCATGAATTTCTTCCCAACAAAAAAGCTCTTATTTTCGGGGGAGTGGGTTTGCGCCAGAACTCTCTTAAGGGAACCAAAGGAGAGGGCAAAGAATTACAAAGAGACTTGAAAAAGGAAGCACAAGAAAACAAACCCTTAGGGTGAGGGACCCAAACATGCTTGTTTGACTTATCAGGATGAAAACGCACATGTTGAAGTATTTGAAGCAAGTCCAGAAAGCCCCCATTTCATCATCCCTTAATCCTCTACAAAAAACAAAATCCCAGTTATGATCCACTGGGTGAACTGGGTGAACAATGATTTTAGAGATACATTCATTTTTGTACAAAGAAACTGAGTATAGGGATGGGAAGAGATCCTTTAGAGGATGAGACCCAATCCAAATATTCTCCCAAAATTTAATAGTATCCCCTGAACAAGCATCATACTTGTCAAACTGGAGAAGAGTGAGCAAAATTCCATGAATTGCCTTCCATAGAGACGCTAATGTAGCCCGGTTCGAAACACCTGCATCCCAACCTTCCCCAACCTACCATGAATATTGGCTACCACCTTATGCTAGAGTTTGTTCTGTTCCTGTGGCCATCTCCATAACCATTTCCCCAGTAATGCCAAATTCTTTTTATCCACATTCCCAATTCCCAGTCGTGCCTCTAGACTTCTACTCACAGTCTCCTAGTCAACCAAGTGGTCTTTTTTACCTTCTCCCGATTCCCACAAAAAATCCCTCATCAGTTTCTCTATCTTATTTATTTCCTTTTTAGGGATCCTAAAGACCGAGAAGTAGTAGATTGGCAGATTGGCAAGAGTAGACTTAATCAGAGTAATCCTACCCCTAAGTGAGATGTAATTCCTTTTATAGGTTGCTAGTCTCTTGGTACACCTCTCAAAGATTGGACTCCACAACTTACTCTCTCTAGGATTTGCACCTAGGGGAATCCCTAAGTATGTCAAAGGCCACCTTGAGATGGGTCAATCTAGGACACTTGCAACAACTATAAGGTCTCCTTCTCCCATATTAAGTCCTGCAATACAACTCTTCTCAAGATTAATTTTAAGATTGGAGACAAGTTCAAAATTCCCCACCAAGTCCTTTAGATTCCTTGCCAAAAGTTGATCTCCCCCTTCACAGAAGATTATAATATCATTTGCAAACTATAAGTGAGTAATCAGTAACATATCCCTTCCGACCTTCCAACCACTAATTCTATTCTCCCTTTCAGCCTTATTTATAATTCTACTCAAGACATCCACAATTAGGGTAAGGAGGAAAGGTGAAAGAGGGCCTCCCTGCCTCAAACCTCTACGAGCTGGAAAGAAGTCTCTCACAATCCCATTTACCAGAATCGAGTAATGTCAAGTCTTAATACATCCAAAAATCCAATTACACCATCTATCCCTAAATCCACACGATTTCATTACCTCAATTAAGAATGCCCAATCCACCAAACCATAAGCTTTCTCAAGGTCCAACTTACATGCAAAGCCTTTTTTCCTAGATCTTTTCATTTCTTCCACACACTCATTCGCAATGAGGATTTGGTCAGCTATTTGTCTCCCTTTTACAGATGCCCCTTGCTACCAACTGATTAATGTAGGAAGAACTGTTTTTAGCCTTGTGGAAAGGACCTTGGCAATAATCTTGTACAAGATGGTCACTAAGCTGATTGCTCTAAAGTCCCTAGGATGGCAAGCATTAGGCTTTTTTTGGGACAAGAGCTAAAAAGGTAGCATTAATCCCTGGACTAATGAAACCCTTTTCCGCAAATTCAATGAACACCTCAACTAGATCATGTTTCACAATTTCCCAACAATCCTGATAGAAGGCCATAGTGAAACTGTTAGGCCCAGGGGCTTTAGATTTGTTCATTGAGAAAGCTGCCTTTCTTATCTCCTCTTCTTCAAAATTCCTTTCCATCCAACAAGCTTCTTCAAATTCTAGGCAAGTCCGATCAAGGTCCTCTATATCCACTCTATCAATCAAAGGTCTTCTATAGATGGATTTAAAGTGGTCTAGGAATCTCCTAACAATCTCACTCCGATTTGTTCATTGAGAAAACTGCCTTTCTTATCTTCTCTTCTTCAAAATTCCTTTCCATCCAGCAAGCTTCTTCAGATTCCAAGCAAGGTCAATCAAGGTCCTCTCTATCCAAGGTTCAAAATATCGCAATGTATCGGTCAATATGTATCATTCCGACAAGAATCTGATACGCGGAACGTATATAAATCATTTGTTCCGTTTCTTTTCGTATGTATCGGTCGATACGAGCCCGTATCAGACTGTTTCAAATTTATATCGACCAATACGGGCCCAAAACAGTCCGATACAGTTCGGATATGTATCGTTATTCGTTAATCCATATTTAATATCGAATCTCTCACTAATGTTGTTTATTTAAGTCTAATTTCTCTTTCATTAATTAGTCAATTACTCCAAGGCAAATTTAAAATTTAAATTTGAATTTTAGCGCCTAATTCAAATTCTCTCATTAATTCTTTTAATTAATGATCCCCTATCATTAATTTTGTTTTGTTAGTGTAAAAAATTCAAATTTTAGCTATAGCAAGATTCGAACCTTGGTCACTTAATTGTAAGTTTTAACAACCACAAGTTTGCCAGCCATACATATTTGTTTGCTATGATTATATGTATTTTTAATTTTAAGTAAATTTTCACTTTTCTTAATGTGTGACAAGTTTTTATTAATAAATGCTAGAATTAATTATTAAAATTTATATACTAATTTATATTGAGATTAATTATATTTGTTTTTGAAAATTGACATTCACATTTTAGTTTTTTTTTGTTTTTTTACATTTTAATTATTCCATCATTTTTTCAACGGTTACTAATTGTGTCCTAATATGTCACTTTATATCACTTTATATAAACCATTAAATTATGGTTTTTTACATTTAAATTACTTATATACAATCATATAAAATTTGTAAATATAGTTAGTAATATATTTTTAAGATTTATTTGAATTTTTTACCATATTTATGCGTATCTTGATTTTTTGTCTGTATCCATATGTATCCAAAGCGTATCCCGATACGTCTCTTAAAATTGCCTTTCCAATACACCTTGCGTTTCCAATACTTTGAAACTTGTCTATATCCACTCTATCAATCAAAGGTTTTCTATAGATGGATTTAAAGTGGTCTAGAAATCTCCTAGCAATCTCACTCCGATTTGTTCATTGAGAAAACTGCCTTTCTTATCTCCTCTTCTCCAAAATTCCTTTCCGTCCAGCAAGCTTCTTCAGATTCCAGGCAAGTCCAATCAAGGTGTGGAAGATTCAGGGATGGGGAAGGCAGATTGACAGCACTATACTTTGGCCCTATAGGTGTGGAAGATTCTTTAAGAGCTGATATTATGACCCTACTTCAAGGTTTGAGGCTGGCCAAGCAGTGGGGATTTCAAAATTTTGAGGTGGAGGGAGACTCTAAACTGTTAATAGGATGGCTGCAGACAAAAAGCTTGGGGGTATGGGCCTTTAGACAGCAAATGAGGAAGAGTTTTTGCTTAGCAAGGTTAGCTGGAGTAATCTTCAAGTGGACAAGGAGGTCAGCCAATGCTGTGGCTGATACTTTGGCAAAGCAGGGGACCCTCAGGGAAAACTTATTTTGGGTTGTGTTGTAAATCATGTAATACTGTTGGGGTCACCACCACTCATGCTAGAAGTGGTTGACTGTCTATGTATCAACTGTTCTAATGAAAGTTACTGTTTTCAATAAAAAAAAAAGAAAAAAGAAAAAAGTGTGCATGTTTGTTGCTCGAGCTTTTGTGCATATGCATTTATGTTTGACTATAACCAAGGTTCAAAAAGTGTGCATGTTGGCTGATACTTTGTGCATGTGCATATCAGCCAATGCTGTCTGATACGTATCGTATTGTGGGTTTCCCGATATGCCCCTACAGGGGGTGTTTTGGGGTCTAACCCGGTTCAGGGGGTAGGCGGGGCCTTAAACTGACCCCTCTGAACCAGGTTAGAAAAAAAAAAAAAAAAACTAGAAAAACAGGATGCGAGCATCGATACAGTCAGATACGCCCCTACCAGTGTATCGGACTGTATCGGTATTTTGAACCTTGATTATAACATACTAATTTAAACAAGCTGATAATATTAGGAACTTATTTGGAGCTGGGCTTATTTTCCTCTTTCTTTTATCATGACCAAGTACTTTGTTCTTACTCTTATCTGGGCATCAAAACTTTCTCCTCTCCATTCTTGCCCATAAATTTTATTCCAACTTTAAAACATCATGGATACATTCTTTTATTACTTTTTCTTCTCTTCAATTTTGGAACTTTTCATGATATAAGTTGCTTCTGTTGACATTATTTTTCAAGTAAACAACTTGTAACATTAAATCGTTGTGCTCTTTAATCAATCCCATCATTTGGCATTCTTTCTTACTCAGGGATCAGCAACCAAATCTGTTCCATCAGCCCAGTATTCTTGTGTAAAAACCAAGACGCCAAACAGGAAGATAGCTTATGGTAATGGCACAAAGCATTCACCAAGCTTTTCTAGAGTTTCATGTCAAACCAGGCAAAGACTACATCCAGGGATGTTATCTAGTCATGATCGTGCAACTGCTCATTATGGTGCTGTTACTGGGCTTAGAGTTACTGGAGATGGCATGTATTTGTTAAGTGCGGGTACAGTTTTAGTTTTTCGGCAATAATCAGTAATTATTGATACTAGTTCAGGATTCTAGAATTCTTATACTTTATTAGTTAAGAATTTTCTGTTGATTGTGTTTGCTTTGGACATAGATCAGGTGGTGGTGGAAATAGGCTTACAAGTGGTTGAAATGATTCCATCATTAGAAGATGGTCCTTGGTTAAGGCACACCATTACAGAGGCTAGGTCTTTGGCATCTGCAATGAAAATCTATTCAGATAGATCCCAAGATCAGCCAAGGATTTAGCTGATAATCTTACTATAGATGAACAGGGGTGGAAAAATCTGTCCTGGGGTGCTCTAGGCCAGGGTTAAATTTGTATTCTCTTGTTTATGATCTAGACTGTGTACTAGTGCTTGGAACTGTTTCTTCACCTCTTTGAAGGTAGAGATGTTGTTATGATTCGGCCTGCCTTGGAGTTTTGTTTGTCTGAGATCAGTCATGTAGAGAGAGGTAGAAAGGTGGAAGAAAGAGAGAGAGAAAAGAAGAAAATCTGGTTCGAACTGGAAGTCAAAGAACATCACTCCCATTTGGCCAGACATGTGCTTTTATTATTAAAATTAGTGGAAGACATATGTGCCCTTATTTAAGTAAGGAGCACTGGTTCCAACACAATATTACAGATGAGCAACCTTAATCTAAGTATAAAGATAGAAATACCCCTACGCTAATACTCCCCCTCAAGTTGGTGAGTATATATCATATACTCCCAGCTTGTTACATATGTAGTCCACTCTTCCCCGACTCAAGCCTTTTGTAAATAAGTCTGCCCACTGGTTTCCTGTATTAACATATGCATTGTCTAGCTTTCCATTCAGCACCTTCTCCCTCACAAAGTGACAGTCAACCTCAATGTACTTGGTTCTTTCATGAAACACCGGATTCGAAGAAATATGAATTGCAGCCTGATTGTCACAATAGAGCTTCATTGGAGTATTGATGTTGTACCCTACTTCCTGTAGAAGGTTCCTTAGCCACACTAATTCACAAGCAGTATGCGCCATAGCTCTATATTCTGCTTTTGCACTACTTCTTGCCACAACTGTCTGCTTCTTACTTTTCCATGTCACCAAGTTACCTCCCAGGAAAGTGCAATAGCCTGTGGTAGACCGCCTATCAGACATAGAACCGGCCCAGTCAGCATCAGAATGCCCTTCTATTTCAAGTTTTCCGCCACTTTTGTATATCAAACTGCAACCTGGAGCCCCTTTTAAATACCTCACAATTCTCAGAACTGCATTCCAATGAGGAATTAGAGGTTTCTGCATGAACTGACTCACCACACTAACCGCAAATGAAATGTTTGGCCTAGTAATGGTTAGGTAGTTCAGTTTACCTACAAGTCGTTGGTATCTACCAGGGTCTTCAAACACTTCACCCATATCACTGCTTAGCCTAGTATTTGTGTCCATAGGTGTTTCAGTTGGTTTAGCACCCAACAAGCCTGTTTCTTCCAACAAATCAAGCACATATTTCCTTTGGCACAGATTAGTACCATACTTAGATCTTGCCACCTCTATCCCCAAGAAATATTTCAATTTACCAAGATCCTTTGTCTGAAAATGATTATGTAGATAAGTTTTCAGCCTGTCAATACCCATGTTATCATTCCCGGTAATAACAATATCATCTACATACACCACCAACAGTATTTTTCCACCTGGAGAGTCATGACTGAATACAGAATGATCAACTTGGCACTGTTTCATACCAAACTTCTTTACTACCTCACTGAACCTACCAAACCATACTCGAGACTGTTTAAGCCCATATATAGCCTTCCTTAGTCTGCACACCTTACCATCCTCCCCCTGAGCAACAAACCCTGGAGGTTGCTCCATGTAGACCTCCTCGAGTAAGTCACCATGCGAAAAGGCATTCTTGATATCAAGCTG